AGTTCATTCGGAAAAGTTATAAAGCAGACCCACCGATCAATAATGGTAATGTTTTTTTTTTTTAAAGCTGTTAAACCCCGGGTGTCTAACTGACAGGCTACTGACTTATCTAATCAATCACATCAGTAGGTAGCTTTGACCCAGGCCTCTTTTTCCAAAAGCGAGGGAAGAGGTAGACTCGTTTACCCAGGTCCGGATATATTTTTTTACGGACGATTTTTTTTACCTGTGCGACCTTTAACTCGGAACCTTGCAAATTTTATTATTACAGATAACCGTACTGTTTACTCGACTCCGTATGAATTCTTGCACAGGTTCAGCAGTAAAATGACTTTTCTGAAACTCTTCAGCGATTAATTGAAGCTGTTGTTTCCCTAAGTAGTTGCACTAAATAGACGGATAAAATAGACTTACTCATTGCAAAATATTCGCTTCCTTTACCAATCTCACTTCGCGCCTCTTCCACAGCGTGCTTCACAGCAAACAGACTCGTACAGGACATGCACAAAGGAGGCTCTCCCACAGCTAATAATAAATAAAAACACAAACCATAAACGAAATACACGTATAAACTACAATAGAACCCGGTAACTCGTACTCTGAAGGGAAACGAAAAACAGTTCGATTTAGCGAGGAATTCGAGTTATCGGGGTAAATTTGGGTGAAATTTTGAACATTGGAAATGAAATTTAGTTCGCGTTAGCGGGGAATTCGAGTTATCCGAGTTCGAGTTTTCGAGATTCTACTGTATACTATATAGAGACGCTGTACCGGTGACTTTCTTAGGATAAGGGGGTTGACTCATCACGAGGAGATTGTTCCTACAGTTGGAACTCTTTTGGTCGTATTAGTTATCTTAGTTGCAAATGAAATTTTTATAAATAAATAAATGAACGAATGAATGAATAAATAAATAAGTAAATTAATAACTAAATGAATGGAGTGTAAACTTTCATTAGGTATTCTTTCTACAAAGGAAAAGTGTCAGCGATAAATTAAAAAGACCGGACTGGAGCATTTCAATGTAATCATCAAGACCCCATAAAGAACCACCGCTATTAATTACCTGCCGCACGCGCGCAGCGGAGCACCATGGGTAAGAAAATTTGTTTACTTGTACTCCACTTGCACATCTCCCATAATGCACCTTATTTGCCCCCCACCCGCCCCCGCCAAAAAAAAAAAAAATTCCGTAACCTTTGTTTTCATTTCTCCTGGGTATTACAGCCGTCCCAAGAGAAATTGAAAACAATGCTTCTGCAAAATTTTGAAGTGTCAAATAAGGTAGCCTGAATTTCATCCGATTACTTCGAGTCGTTATTACTCCCTCAGTAACGTCTGAATCGACCGGCCGTTAATGCCGTCCAGTGACGTCACTAGTCCTTGACCTTTGCTTTAATTCATGCAAAAAGTAAAACACGATTTTCAAGTGGCAAACCGAGAAGTATCGTTTGGAAATGTCTGCATGATACAGAACTGCTTTATTTTTTTGGATTGTAATTCATGTTTAACGTTCAAACTATCAACTGCATGCAATACAACTCTGAACCGGTTGTACTATCTATAAATATCAAACTCGGTCGCAATCACGCAAATGAAATAAACACACACACGGAACACTTAGTTCAAAAACACAATGATTTGCTTTAATTAACGAAGAAAAAAAACAAGGAGACAAGAAAGAAAAGCTAACAGAATCATTACACTTGACGGTAAAAATAGCAAGAAGGTCGAATTATAACATTGATCTCAGAAAACTTCGCGTAAACAAAATCACCGGCCGCTGAAACCACAAAGCGGCTCTAAATGAAAAACCTACCCACTCTCCGCAATGATTCTTCATTCGCAGTTCAATTTAGCACTTCAGTTTCGAAGACAAGGGCAATTTTGCTTTTTAAGATAAAGATTAAGCTTATCGAAATGTTTGAACTAAACGAAAGAATGCCGGGGATGCGATCCACTGAATATCAAGCGACAATCCCGCTAAAATTTTTCATAATTATACATAATTATGCGAATGTTTAGACAATCAACCAATCAAAATCACTACCCGGTTTTCGGGTAGTGAATGACGTCACTGGACGGCATTAACGGCCCGTCGATTCAGACGTTGTTGAGAGGAGAAAACGACTCGAAGCAATCGGATGAATTTCAGGCTACAAATAAGGTGCATTATGGGAGATGTGCGAGTGGCCTATGCATCCGAAAAATTCTGATAGTCACGTGACCGTACGTTCGCCTGTCCGTCCGCACCACAGGTACACCAATGTAAAATAATTCAATCAACAGGTATGGCAAACCAAAAGCAACTTGAGGTTTTTTTGGCGGGAAATCCAGGACCACCCGGACTTTTACAGAGAAAAAATAACAACAAAGTCGAGTATTTTCGGCGTTATTTTTGATGTCTTCGCTCACGTGGATAACAGAGAAAGAGCTAGGGCGAGTGAATAAAAACAAAGGAGGCGAATGAACCATGTAGTTCCCATGTAGGGAACCATGTAGTCTCCTTCGCACGCGCTCGGGCCAGAGTCACGCAATGCTCCCTGAGAATACGCGACTGTCGAGATTGGGGTGGGTCATCACTAGTAAAATTCAGACATAATGAAGGGTAGGGATTTCACTAATTGAAGTATATGAAAGGTGAGGGAGTCTGTCATTGCGGTCTAGGTAGTAGGTACTCTTTATTAAGTATGTAAGAGAGGTATCATTTTGTCAATAAAAGGTATACAAAACGGGTACCTTTTCTGTCAAAAATGGTGTATAAAACGGTAAGGGGTTAGACTTTGGGGCGGAGCCTCCCCGTTAGGCATGAATAGATTGTGCAAGTAAATCCAGCAAAAGTTGCTTGACAATACACCCAAAAGTTGCTCTAAAGTTGCTAAAAAATTTAAAAGTTGCTTACTTTTGAGAGTCATTTTGTTCTAGATTACTATTCAAAACATGACGTTGTATGTTTAATTTAACATCATTTGTTGTGATCAATGTAATCTTTAAGCTCAACGTAACTAATAATAGAAACTATTTTCTAATGACGTTCCTAATGAGTAAACATTACCATGTTTGCTTAAGACATCATAGTGCTGACTATACACTTTAGACAGTGATCAAGTTTAACACCTTTATCTTATCTTATCATGTTAAGATACAACAATGCAAAGAGGTTGTAAACTTTAAATTTACAGCCCGTTTGCATTGTTGTATCTTATTGTAACTGAAGCTTCAAGGTAGTCCTTTAGAGCATTGTCTTGTTGATCGTTAAAAGCATTGTTCAGAAGGATGAAGACTCTCTCAGCAGATGCTGAACTTGGCTGGATGACCAACAACTTCTTTACTACACCTGCCCAATGTGGAAGTGTGTCACTGTGGGCTGCCCACCATGCCAGCTTTTCTCCTTCATTTGCCATGACAACACCATCAGCTGCAGCAAGATAGTCAGGTAGCTTTCAGGCCAAGTTGGCAATAATATTGTCATTGCCACCACTGTTATTTTATAAATTATTTGTAAGAACTTACGACATCTTAGTTTTGACCAGTTTTAATAAAAACCCTTTATTAAAGACCTTTTTTATGGTTTGGTCAGTTTTTAACTATTTGTTGACTCAAAAGTTGCCAAGGAAGGCAAAAGTTACTCTAGGTGCCTGCAGTACGAAAAGTTGCTGAAAACGCTAAAAGCTGCTCAACAGTTGCCGCGCATAATCTATTTATGCCTACTCCCCGTATGAAATCTTTTTGACTAAGCCCTCCCCCCCCGCCCCGAGAGCCCAGTTCCGTTCAGAGAAACTATCAACAGTGACACCGAGCATAAGTGAAATTAAAGTTCAAAGAACCAACACAAATAAAGTATAACCTTTATTTTCCTTCTACAAGCTAATACAAACTATTGATCACATTAAGAAACTGCCAACGTCCATAATATGCAGTTACGATATAAACTAAAAAACTGACTTTCCTCTGTTCTAATACACACCCCCTTACAAATGTAGCTAAATGTTGAAAACTCTGAAAATTTCAACTTCTGAAAGTGTCTGCTATTTTCACATGTTATAGTATAAAACGTTTAATTGTGCGTTTGTTGTCTCGGGGAAGACCAGTTTGGATCTCCGCCTGACAAACTAATAAAGACAATATTAGAAAAAATGCTGAAAATTTTTCTGATTAAGTCCAAAATTTACCCTTTAAACAAGGTCATAAGCCATGTTAAACTAATTGCCCGTCCTTATTCAGATCTATACAGTGATCAAAGAAACAAGCTTTGTTGCAGTAAGTTATTGTTTCGTAAATAAGACATGTTATTGAAGTAAGACTGCTCAAATCAAGTTATTTATCAAGTCTTTTTTCCATCAACTTGTTAGGTTGAAGCCGCCATAAACTGAAAAAGATTCAAGTAGGTTACCTCTAAACAGTTCGCCGTTACCCCTCTGTAAACGACCACAAAACACCAAAATTTTCGCCTTTAAAGGTCTGTACTTGGTGCCTCTTGTAAACGACCGCGAGTGTTCCATTGCTTTTTATCGCTAGTAACCACTTGTACATGTCAAGAGGTCTTATCTATGTTTTCGCAGTTGATGTTACTATCACTACCTACAGTAAGTGACAGAATGGTACTGCACGGATTGTAACTTCCAAAATATTCTATTCGATAAATTGTCTTTGAAGTGTCCGGTACCTATTCCTTGAAGAGACCCTCCAGTGAAGGTTTGCATTTTGCTTGGTCGCTTACAGTGGTTTCGACTGTATTTGGATGTCATTAATCTTTGCTTCTTGCTGAGTGAACATGCTTTGTAAAAAGTGGAGGCATCATCTAAATATCCGAGTTTCCAAGGCGTACTCAAGATGCGCAGAACGGACGCCCCGAATCGAGTAAGCTCTCCATTTGTAGTAAGCGAAGCGAGCCGCGAAGCCGCGCGTGAATTTTTGCGACTTCCCAAATAACAAATGGAGAGCTTTCTCGCAGGCTGGCAGAACGGAATGCGCTATCTGCTTGGAAATATTCCTCTATTTTATGTTTTAGAGTTATCAGGCAGCATTTTCCCCGTTTTTTTTTTCGCTTTTTCACTCAGCCAAGACAACAGTGAAGGAACACCGCTGATAACATACAAAAGTACGGTTTTCAACAGCTCGTCCGCAGTCTCCCTTCCATAAAACGACTGTCCCGCTAAAACTGCCATCGCAACAAAAGAGCAACCACCGCAAAAGGTAACACCTAATACTATGATTTGTATGATGTCGCCTTGACTGCATTGGAAATTGCCTTGCCATAAAAACTGGTAGAGTAGGAAAGTTAACAGGACGACAGAAACGCAAACTATGAGTAAAACCGTTAGTCCCCACACTGGATTTATCATAATGCCGATCACCAGCCAACAAAAATGATAGGATGTAAAGATTAAACAAAATGTTAATATAAAGACTCTTTTTGAAGGGCATTTTTTGAGGCAAGTTAATATCACACCTTCCAAAATAAGGATCCCAATAGCTATGTAAACATCAATTGGGGCATTTCCGGATACAGAAAATATGACTATTAAGACTAATATTATAGTTTCCATACACAACAATAAACAACATACGCAAACTACCGAGCTTATTAAGGGCTCCGAAGTATTTTCTCCTGGGCCCGAGGTAGCAGTTGGCTGCGGAGAAGAGGGATATTGGGAACCAGGGGGTTCGGGTTCGGGCTCCGAATTATTTTCTCCCACGCCCGGGGAAGTGGAAGCCTGGGGAACAAGTGATCTCATTTCAATGTCGTTTCCTGAAACTTGCCCCGTCCCGGCGGATGAGGTTGCAGTTGGACTTTGAGGACAAGGTGATCTCTGTTTTATCACATCTAGAATAATTTCTGCTAAAAAAGGACCAGCCCAGAATGAAAAAATAAAAGCGCACCATAAAATTGCTCTTATGTACGAACTTCGCGGTCCTGTAGCCAGTATGTCTGTTTCATGTCCCTCTATAACGCACTCTGCAGTGTTTAGTCTTGGATCCCGTATTCCTGGACTTACGGCCAGATCTTGAAGCTGAGGAAAAGAAACATGTTTAATGTAATCAATATTCGCATAATGCAATAGACACCGGACTGGGATCAGTCGATATTGCCACTTTTTTAATAGTTAATGCTACAATAAAATGTTCAACGCCCAGTTTAAAGTTAAACAAACATTCACGGTCATTTTCTGGACCTTAGTGGTTTCTATAGCAACACTGATACTCTGCAATAAAAACACCCTTATTTTCAGTTTAAGTACTTGGCTCCAAAATGTTAGAATTGCGTGTAAGAGTACGAATTCTTTATGACCCCGATTATTCTTCTTTTAATTGTATAATCTCGGTTTCTCTGTAACTCCTGTAGTTAGTGTAAACTGTAAGGGAATAGTAGGTGTACAGTTGCGTACCGCAGCGAGGACACCTTTCATGAGGTCTTTCTGCTCCTTGCAATTGGTCGATGCAATATTTCTACAGAAATCCGGGATGCAGATTTTCAGCTCCTGTGTGCGTGGTGTAACAAGAACTGAGCCAAGCGACAAGAGCTGGAGGACTTGAGGAGGAATAGCAACAAATAAACAGTTTAAACTCCAAGTGTAATTTGCCACCGATGTTTCATTGTGTGTAATGAACTCTACCTTGATGACAAGTGATGACGGCATCATTGCTGGAAACAGCGCAGATTCAATGTTGAAACTGTTCTCCTCTGATGCTAGGGATTTATAAATGTCAGCATAGCTGTCAATACAAGAAGTAAACTTGGGGCAATGCCTGGTCGCAGTTGCTTTGGTGTGTTGGGCAAAACCAATGAACACAGCTTGAAGAAAGAGAGGGTGGATTATCCGCATGGTAAGCTCTTACCAATGGGTTACAATTTCCCCTATTAAGAAATGCAAAATTTAGAATTGTTTTAGATGACGGATGTATTTATGTAAGGAAAACTGATTTGGTTGTTTTGTTGGAATACGGGAATTGTCCTCCCTTTGTATGAAGGAATTTCAGTGATACCCAGCAAGCAAGCAAGCCTGGAGCCTTTGTTACTGTCGGGGAACGAGAGTGAGAGAGGGAAGCTGCGGAGACAATGAAAGCTTCGGCACGAAACTCTGCTCACACCTAGCATTAAGCACCCTCCCAAGGGGACGGGGCAGCCTACTCCATAAAGTTTTATACAGTGAGGCTCCGCTCCGAGATCCAACTCCTTGCCCTCTCATTTACCATTTTTGACAGATTTGGTTTCCCCTTTTTCCTCCCACTGAAAAATAATGGTGTCTTTTCACATACGTACTAACAGGAAGTCTTCTTGTCATGCTACATGTAGCATTTATTATATTAAAAGGGGGTCTCAGTGGGATTATAACCGTCAGCCGTCAAACGGCCTAAAATTTAACTTAAACCGTCAAGAATGCAAATTGACATTAACCATAAAAAAGTTTCAAGGCATTTCAAATCTTGTTTTTCTTTCAGTTTTAAGTATTTCAGCTGATCTTCATGGACTTCTGGCTTCTGAAGAATCTCTAACTGAAACTAGAAAACCAGTTCCTATGTGCTCACAAACCGACTTAATTCTTTTAGACATTTCAAGACTTTCCTTGTCAAAATGAATTTTCTTTCTAGCCCTTTTAATCTGAGTAACAGGCCTGTCTTAGGGGTAAGGGGAGAGGAAGTTTTAGATGACGGAGCGGGGGAGAAGAATAGAGACTTAAGAGTGATTTTCTGTAAAATTCGAATTTCGGCCTGACACGGTACCTCATCGATTTGGCTGATTTTTGGCATGTAGTCTTAGAATGGTGTCCTAAATACTGAATGAATATTCTAAGGTTCGAATTCTCTTTGGTTTCAAAGATACAGGAATGACAGTTTTGACGAGGCCTCGAGGCGCCGCCATGTTGGTGAACTGAAGGAAGTTTACAATAATTAATTCTAGCCTTATCTTTAAAATAACTTAATCATGACTCATACAGTTGAAAAGAACTATCCTTCCTCCTTTCATTTACCTACTCTAATCTGAAAATGGTTAAGCCTGAGCTACGAACGGCTATAACTTCTCACAGCACTTTTTCGGTACCTAAAATATACACAAATTTGGTAGAAATTGGAAGGTCAATATTGTACGGGGCCGGGGGGGGGGAGGGAGGCTGCAGCCCCCCCCAAATTTTGGGCAACTCAGATTTTTTGGCAGCAAGAGAAATTTGGGCAAAGCCAGTTTTTAAAGAGGTTTCCATGTTTCTTTTTTATTATTTCGAAGAGATAGATATTTTCTATATTTTAACCTGAACCAGTTAAATTCACACGAGACAGTAGTCTGAGGGAAGTTTCAACAGCGTATGGCAGATAGCATCAGCAATGGGTCTGAAAATGAAGAAGTGACTGACCAATTCTCAGTTAAAGTTAAGAGAAGCTAGGGCACTTAGACAGTCGCCATCGCGCTGCCTTCATGCCCTTGTAGGCGAACACGCGCAAAGACAAGCGCAGCTGACACCTGAATCGCACCACCGTATAGCCCGCGTCACAGGCGTAATTTAACCTCCGTTAGTATTAGGTCTGCGAAGCGGCGCCGATATCCTTAATCTGCCGGCCCCCCAACGGACTCAAGGAATTGTCGGAAGTTGGTTTCATATTTCCTTTCGTCTTGATTGGCAAATCGACAATGGGTTTTTTAGAAAGCCAATCATGACGCGTACTTAAATCCTGGCACACAAGTGGAGGCCCAAGGCTGTTTCGAAGACGAACTTAACCAGACTTGAGTTTCGTCTGTGGCGCAGGCTAACCACCGTATTACCATTGGCTACGCGTCCATCGACAAGGTGCTCTCTGAGCTTGAGCTCAGGTTTAGCGGAAATGATCGCTCTGTGCTTTGGAAAGGTCACAGTTAAACACCTGATAAACAAAACTTCTCCAACGTTGCTAAATTTTACAAAATCGACAGCGACACCATATCGACAGCATATCTCGGTGAGCATTCGGAAGTCAGCCAAGCGTGGTCATTGCAAGCGTGCTGAACAAGAATGCTGTATAACGACAGACTAGAAACAATAGACAACTCCCAAACAAACTCAGCCGAAACGCTAAAAATCTTCAATGTTACTCAAGTTTGGGCTTATAGAAGATAATGTCACAGTTTTTCAATGACCATGAAATTCAGAATCCGGGTAGTTAATTAATCAATTGTGGCCCTGAAAAAATTTGAAGGAAAAAAAACTACGAATTTTTAAGAAAATGCTTTTTTCGTGAGAAGGACTCTTGAACGCTGACAAACGTCAACAACTAGCTAAAACTATAATTTGTATATGTTTGCTTTGCTCGAAATCGCGAGCATTTACAAGGCCCTAAAGCTTTTTGCTCACTTGCAAGGACCCATCTGTTATAACGATCCCCAAAATAATTATTATATATATATACTGAGAAAAATGATACGTCCAATAGGCCATTTGCACTAAGAGGCATGTGACACCGTTTTTGTGAAAATGAAAGTTATATAATTTTGCCTTCGAAAAACGATTAGTGGGTCATATCTTAAACAAAATAATGGTGATTTGGTCTTTCAAACCCGCACCATTTTCTTAAAATAAATAAGTTCGTAAATGGTCACGTGACCAAAATGTGATTTTTAAAATTATGAATTACCTCTCTCTGAACACAAATTTTGCACTTAAACTTCTAGGAAAATGTTGAAAAGATAATGTGATAACGTTTACAGCACATTTGAGCGTAACTATGAAACGTTGAACAAGATATAAGCAACAAGTAGTTTTGTCCGCCATGTTGGAGGGCAAGAGCATGCCCTCCAATATGGCGGCCAATACAAATCATACTACTTTGCTTAAAGATCAAAGTGCCACAAAATATCTCCCTTAAATGCGTTTCCTCTCAAATTTCGGGGGTAAGATAATTTTTGTGTGCTCTAATCAGCAAGATTCCAAGTCATTGTTTAAAGGAAGCATTGGTCACGTGACCTCTTAGTGCAAGTGGCCTATCAGAAGCCACAGAGGTGTGTGAGTTTCGCGCCAAAATTCCCGCCTTTTATTGCAGCTTGCAGAGCCGCTTTGCACACATTCAACGAGAAAGGTTTTACTCAAAGAGTTTTTCTCGCTAAAAAAGTGAAAAACATTTCGGAAATGGAGTGGAATAGTTTCGTTTGTTTCACTGTCGATGAAGAAAACGGTAGAGAGCCGGCGAAATTAACAACAGCGGAAAGAGAAAACAGAACGAGACGTAAGCTTTTGTTGTGCTTTTTATCGGAGCTACTTTGCCTTTCATTTAAGCTTAAGCTTATATTGAAACCGGCCATTTTACTTAAATTTACTCATTTTCAATTGTGCATTGAGAACAAACAGTTAAGATTAATTATAGTTCTTGGATTACCTCATATCCTTACGGTCATATATGTTTTTAACAAACGTTTTTTTTAAGAAGCTGATACTTCGTTTTCGTTGTCATTTTGCGGTAAGTGTGTAGCGGCAAATTTCAACATTTTTGAAAGATTTAAAATAAAAAGGCGGCCAAAATAATGAATGTCTCAGTATGTATGTAATAAGCAAAATGCCACATGGAAAGTGCTTTGTACGATATTTACGCACTCGTTGTTTTTGTATCAGAAATCTTACTCGTTCGCTGCGCTCACTCGTTCGATTTCTGATACGTTAACAACTCGTGCGTAAATACCGTACGCCAGCACTCTCCATGAAGTATTCTTTATTTAAGGGATGAATCTCATAGTTTATTACATATAATCGTGTAAAGTTTGCTTATCATTTTCGCACAAATTATGACCTAAATTTGGAAACCGCTGAATTTCTCGAATTGGGTCTTTGCGATTTTGGTGAAACTCTGTTCAGCGCAAGGCACTAATGCGCACTATGTGTAGCCAAGAGATTTCCACGAAAAAATGCCGGCAACAGCAGATTTTCGATTTTCGACTCAGACCTCAAGGGGGCGTGGCATTATAACCACGTAACATTTACTCCGATTGCCGAAAATTTTATGTTATATTGTAGACTGATCTATATGTTATCCATTCTATGAGTTAGACTTACGATAAAAGTAAAGGTGGGGATACCAGAGAGCTTCAAAGAAGGATGGTACCCCCCAAAAAAATCTGGGTCGAGTCACCTTAAATTTAGAATATCTCCTCGCGAAGCGCCGAGCGAAGTGAGTTTATAATCTGGTCGCGCGCGAAGCGCGCGCTCAGTGCGTGAACCGCGGAGGGGCCTAGCGAGCTGCAAACTCGCTGTCCGCATGACGTCATACAGTAGTTTGAGGTCACCGGGCAAAAAGATTTCGAATTCCCATCAATTGACCAAAGTATTCACGAGGAGCTGTCTTTTCATCGTCTGCAAAACAATGTTTACTATCGGTGAATCTCAAACCATTTCTCATACAAACAGAACAGCAAGCACAAGAACGCCGAATTGTCAATCCTCGCAGGGGAAGATTTGACACACTGAAAAATCCTCTGGAGCGAGAACGCCAACTTGAAATTCAACGGCACAAGCAACAAAGAACAAAGATGGAGACGGCATCAACGAACAGCGGAGCAGAGGGAACATCACTTAATGAATTTCAAATGCTAAAGTACTGTAAGAGCAAATGGAAGCGATTCTGGATAAATTGCCTTAACATATGAGCGAACATCGCGGTAACAAAAGACGTTTTGCTCGCAGACGAGTTTATACCGTATCGGCCTAGACTGTTGGGCTTCCATTTTTTACATGAAAATGCGATGAAATGCATTTACGTTGGGTTTTCACTGTCGAAACTGCAGTCATTCTAATTCGCAATTCACATCACGGTAACAAAAGACGTTTTGCTCGCAGACGAGTTTATACCGTATCGGCCAACCTCGTCCCCAGGGCTTTTCCCTCAAAAAATGGGTGGGGCTGGAAAAGGCCCTGGCATCGGCTGGTCACGTGTCTCCTCGTACACCCTAAAATCCCGGGTGTAATAAATTAGCGCCATGTGAAAAGCTAAAATTATGCGTAACCTCACAGGGAGCGATCTTGGTCGACCTTTTATATCTCTTAACGATAAACGAAAAGTTTTACAAGGTTTCCTCTTTGTCACAGACACTGGTTATGGTAATTTTTTCCGTTCCTCCGATTGCTACGAAGGGGACAGCGAGTAACATTTGTAAAACTTCTCTTTACACAGCGGTATAAATGACAAACAAGCTAGCGAACATGCATAAAGGTTGTACTAGAAAATTTAGCCTGCGTGGCAGGCGTTCTAAAGGGAAGGGGAAGGGAATTACGGCGCGAGGGGAAGGAAATTAGGGCGCGACTAAAACTCCCTTTCCCAAAACTCCCTTTCCCTTCCCTTTCAAACGCCTGCCACGCAGGCTATAGCAAATTCCTCTTTCTCGACTCTTCAGATATTTTATTTCATTTCTTGCAAAGTGGGCCGCCGTACACAGCCTAGTTCTATTCACCCTAACTCTCAGCCATATCATAGCGACACGCGTTGGTTTAGACTTATCCTGTATGACCCGTATTTTTGAAAAAATTCATTGACCTTTGCGATCAAAAGACTGGCAACAAAGAAAGATCTAATCTCCTTCGCAGCCGTTATTAGGGTCGTCACTCGTCACGCAACGCTCCTCCCCACTAGTGGGGAGGAGCGTTGCGTGACGAGTGACGACCCTAATAACGGCTGCGAGGGAGACTAAGAAAGATCTGGGTCCATTTAAAATCGACAGAGCTGTAGTTTTTTCCAATCGATCAGTCGATCTTCTCTTTAATATAAAGAAAATACTTTGTACTTGTCCTCGGAAGAGAAAAGACATAAGGGACTGGTCAAAAAGTATAGGGGGGGGGGGGGGGCCGGAGCATTTTGAAATGTGGTTGATAAAAAACACATGACCCACCCCCTCCCTTCGGCACAAAAATGACTGACCCACCCCTAAAGCAAGGTTGGAAATTGCATGACCCACCCCCTAGTTAAAACATGGATGTTCGGTTTCCTCTTAATAATCCAATAAAACCTCGTTCTGTGCTTGACAAAATTTGTTCATACACTGCTACAACCAATATCAAAATCACAGAAATAATACCTTTCACTGAAAAGACAAATGTGAAAAATCAAAAATTTCTTGTTTCGATGGACGTTATGAGTCTTGACACAAATATACAGCAAAACGAGGGTATATTAAAATTGTCTGTCACAAAGCATATGAAAATTTCTACAAAGACAACCTATTCCTACACATTACTTGCCGGAAATGCTTAGATTAATCCTCAAAGAAAATTTCTTCCACTTCAGTGAAAGGACTACCTACAAAACCATGGAACTGCAATGGGCACAAAGACAGCAGTTTTGATTCCTTTGCCAATATTTTCATGACATATATTGAAACAACAACTCTAAGTAAAACTGTCTTTAGAACAACAGTTTGCAAATGCTACATACACGTTATCTTTTCCCTATGGGACATGAGTAAACCAGACATCGAAGCCTTCATTGAAAAAGCAAACTTCCATGACCCAACTACCGTGAATTCATGGCCGAAACCTTTGACACTGAGACTGCGTTTTTAGACATGGTTGTATACAAAGGCACAAGATTCAAGGAAAAATCTGTCCTTGATGCATAGACACATTTTAAACAAACGGAAACCTTCTTGCACACACATTTCACCACGTGTCACCTTCCAAACGTTAAAAAAGGATTTGTCAAAGGAGACGCCTTGAGAATCCTACGAAAATACTCCTCAGAAACAAACTTTGAGGAAAATAATTCAAATAAAAAAAAAAAAAAACGCTTGATGGACGGAGGCTACCCACAGTCTTTGATAGAAAACCTTCTACCAGAAATAAAATTCACAAAAGGGAGTCTGAACTCCTTAAACAAAACAACAAGGAGGAAAAAGAAATATTGCCATTCGTGACACAATACCAGCCCTCGGTGTCTACTATAAAGGAAGCTTGAATGAAAAAATGGAATCTTATACAAAACCAACTATAACTTC